TCCAGTCTTTCATCAAAGATTATATTCATTAAGAAGTTCTCTGCATTCCTCAAGCTCTGTATCTCCAATATATTTCTCCAATCATTCCAATCATAAATTTATATGTAATTCATACATCAAAGTTAATATAAAATTCAAAAACATATGCCCAATGTTGGATTGTCGTGAATTACAAAAATATATTAAAAGCAGCTCAGTGCTTTTATATATAAATCTATTCTATACAAAGATTCTCTTTATTTATATAAACCTTTAACATTTCAAACACTGTTGGCCTGTAAATGACTGAACACAATTAATGCAATTTAAATATGATGTAAAAAGCTGTGTCAAGTAATAAAGTAATTAAGTAGCAAAGGCACACTTACAACACATGCATAAGTCTGTCTACACTTACAGGCATCCTTAGATTACATACACACATTTATACGGATGTAAGCAAGTACGAAAATACTTTCGATCTTTGTCACTGAAAAGAATCTATTACAATGACTATTTCATACATGGGTTTAGAATACAAAAAATAAAAGTTCCCATCACCAGTGAGAGGTTCATCAGTGTTAACTTTCATACTATTTCAAGTCTGTGTGTCTCTGTCTGTCTCTTTCTGTCTCAGTTTCTGTCTGTCTCTGTCTCTGTCTGTCTCAGTTTGTCTCTGTCTCAGTTTCTGTCTCTGTCTCTGCCTGTAAGTATTGAACTTTGGCTAAAAAAGCAAAACAGGCACTAGATCAGCAATAGTTATCACATCTTTGAACAGATATGATTAAATGTTATAAAAAAAATTATCACTTAATGCCAATCACCAATATCCCCAAATCATTGTTATGCATTTAAAGCTGAAATCACATCAGGTATCCACTGTTCATGCACACACAAAATGACAAGTAAATCAACTTCGGTCAGAATATCTTTTATTAATCACATTCCACCTAACAGATCACGGAAGCAAAAATTATTTTACAAATTATGCTACGCCTGTTGTGCTTGCCACTTCTCAAATTTCTTCTTCTGGGCTTCCATGAGCTTGGCAAGTTTCTTTGACTGGCTCTTGGTGATTTCCTTGCCTTCCTTGTCATGCGTTGGCAGACCACTCTCATCCCACTGTGAATATTCAGGGGTGCGGAACATGTCCTTAGGGTCCTTGGGCACCTCCTTGTCCTTGGCAGCTTGTTTCGCTGCCTGTTCTGCCTTCTTCTTCTCCTTCTCTTCCCTCTTGGCAGCTTCTTGCTCTTTCTTTAGCTTGATCTCTTGCATAAGCTCTGCTGCATCTACAAGCTTAATGCTTGGTGCACCTGTGAATAAGACACATTTGAAAGGTTTTCAAGCCATAAAGGTCAAAAAAGCACCGGTAACAATGTAATTTCCTTTAGTTAACTTAAGAAAAAAAAATCTTACTGCATATCAACATTTGCAAGTCAAATTCTAACTTTATTAAGTTTTTTTAAATCACCTAATACAATTTCACATATTCATAATAACTGATCCTGAACACTGGGCAGAACTGGTACTGTATCAAAAATAAAACCAACATGTGTGGGGATGCCACAGACACTTCAGGGGTTAGCAAGAAGCAGCTTACCTCCATCTCTGTCTTCTAGCCTGACCCCAAGCGGAGGTAGCATGTCATCACGAATACTGTCGCAGAGGCTTAGGAGTTTACCCTGGAGGTCTTTGGCATCTACATCCTTTCCTCTAGACCACTGGCGGAGCTTTTCTCGGACATCTCCCACTACTTCAGCAACCGCAAGAAGGCTCTCTGAGCTCTAGGGAAAACATGGTTATTTAGTACATTAACAAACCTTCTTATTATTACATTTCAGTTCATACTGGCTATGCAGTATATGAATGACGACTGCAATAAAAATGACAGACACACTAACTGACTTCTTGAATTATCCATACAACTAAAAACCTCTAATCATTCTGAAATCAGAAGGCAACTCGAGTCCCCTTCTTCAGAACAGAAATGTATGAAAACCAAAAACTTTCGCCAGGCCATCAAAACCATACCTGATCTTGTCCCCTTACCTGGCCACTGCCTCCACTCTGATCACCAATGGTAACACCAAACATGTTCATCATTTTCAGGACATAGCTGTTTATGTTGATCATCAGTTGAGAGTTGACCTGTGGAAATGTCTGCATCGTCACATGCCCCAATAACAACATGCGTTTGGATTATAGCACACAAAAACTCTGAATGGTCTCTTACATAGCTTTCTTCAGTACTATAAAACAAAGTGACCCAAACTAGCATATAACAAATGTAGAGTATCCTATAAAAAAAATGAATAGTACCATATCAAAAAAAGAAAAGGTGTTTGCTAAACAATCTCACCTGCTGATTGTTATTCATGTACTTGTTGGCTTCTGTAATGAGGTCCCTCATATGGTCTAGTGCTGTTCTGGTGTCAATATTATCACACAGCGCCTTGTGAACGTTTACTCTGTGGCCAGAACAATCCAAATATCAATCAAATTATACCATCATGCAAAGACATACAAAAATCTAAAGTTACATTAAAACACAAACAAGAACAATTTTTTCTTAAGTACAAAAGAAAGGAAATTACAACAAACCTTGTGTTATTATATGTTGCCTCAACCGGCATCTCGGTACTACTCCATTGTGTGCTGGTGTTTCCGATACGACGAACCAGATCTTGAACATTTAGGTTGAATTCACTGACCATCTTGTAGAATTGTCTGGCTCCTTCCATGGTGTTCCTATAAGCAGTCCAGATTTATGATGCCTTATGAGGTTGTATGAGATTTTTTTTTTTTTTTGTCATCTTGTACAGTCAAATTCCATCTTGAACACACACAAAAAAATGCTACCCTTCTTGTTTAGGTTAGGAGGGTTTCAAAGCTTCATTTACAACTTTACTTTTGTCAATGACTGTATTATGACAAGATGGATACTTATTTAATTTACTATGATCATTTAGATTTACTTGCAAAGACAAAATCTTACAGACAAAGAATATATGAAAATTAATCAATAACACAAAATCTAAGTACCATAAATAACTTCTGTCAGTTATAAAAAAAAACACATTATCATTACCATCATATTATTTTATTTTCATCAATATTCTTATCAATATTTCAAACACACCCAAGTACACCTATACACATACATGCACATGCATATGCCCACATACACATACACACAAACACACTGGCTATCTATCTATATACCTGGCCTGTGGCTACTTTACCAGTGTAAAGATGTCAATTTCTCACTCCTCAACTCTACATACTTTATATACAATCTAATCAGCACCTATAGGATTGAGGAATAATGATTGCTCTTCTTATACATACACTTATGCAAACATACATGCTTATAGCCCCACGCACACTCACATCCTCACTCACACTTACACGCTAAATACACATACTTTCACACACACGAACTTACATCTTATTTTTCCCTCCACACCGCACACCTTCCTTATCTTACCCACTCCCCTCAAACCCCACATCCCAGACCTAACACCTTACACACTTTCCCCTAAATGCCCAAACTCCTACGACCCCAAAGCACCACTGCCACCACCTACGAGCTGTAATCCAACGTGTCCTTCCAGGCGTGCAGGAGGAAGGCTACACGCAGGTGGGCAGCCGACGTCTCTTCCAGGGCCTTCTTGATGGTTATGAAGTTTTTGAGGCTCTTGCTCATCTTGCAGCCGTCAATGTGCAGGTGACCCGTGTGCAAGAAGTACCGCACCTGAGGAGACATGCACCCAAGGGAGGGGGAGAGCAGTTAGTGTAAGTTGAAGAGAGAGGGGAGGGGAAAGAATTATTCTAGAATCACTAAATATTGCCACTTCAAAAGGAGGTGGAGATCCCGGTACTGTGGTGGTGAGAAGAATAATTTGCAACAGGTAGAGGAGGAGGAGGAGGAGGGGCAGGAAGAAGGTGGAAGTGATGGAAGGAGGAGGAGGAGGAGAGGAGGAGGAGAGAGAGAGGAGGAGGAGGCAGAGGAGGAGGAGGAGGTTGAGAGGAGGAAGGCAGAGGAAGAGGAGGCAGAGGAGGAGGATGAGGAGGTAGAGGAGGAGTAGGCAGGTAGGAAGAAGGCAGAGAGGAGAGGAGGAAGGAAGAAGCAGAGGCAGAGGAGAGAGGAGAGGAGGAGGAAGAAAGCAAGGAGCAGGAGGAAGAAAGCAGAGGAGAGGAGGAGGAGGACAGAGGAGGAGAGCAGAGAGGAGGAAGGAGGAGGAAGAAAGAGAGGAGGAGGAGGAAGAAAGCAGAGGAGGAGGAGGAGGAGGGAAGAAAGCAGAGGAGAGGAGAGGAGGAGGCAGAGAGGAGAAGGCAGAGGAGAAAAAGGAGGAGGAAGTCAGAGGAGAAAGGAGAAGGAGAAGGAGAAGGAGAAGGAGAAGGAGAAGGAGGAGGAGGAGGAGGAGAGGAGGAGGAGGAGGAGGAGGAGGAGGAGGAGGAGAGGAGGAGGAGGAAGGAGAAGGAGAAGGAGAAGGAGAAGGAGAAGGAGAAGGAGAAGGAGAGGAGAAGGAGAAGGAGAAGGAGAAGGAGAAGAGAAGAAAGGAGAAGGGAAGGAGAAGGAGAAGAGAAGGAGAAGGAGAAGGAAAAGAAGGAGAAGAGGAGGAGAAGGAGAAGGAGAAGGAGGAGAAGAAGAAGAGGAGAGGAGAAGGAGAAAGAGAGGAGAGAAGGAGAAGGAGGAGAAGGAGAGGAGAAGAGAAGGAGAAGGTGGAGAGAAGGAGAAGAGGAGAAGGAGAAGGAGAAGAGAAGGAGAAGGAAGAGAAGGAGAAGAGGGAGAGGAAGAGGAGAAGGAGAAGGAGAAGGAAAGGAGGGAAGGAGGAAGGAGAAGGAGAAGGAGAAGAGAGAAGGAGAAGGAGAAGGAGAGAGAAGGAGAAGGAGAAGGAGAGAGGAGAAGGAGGAAGGAAGAGAAGAAGAAGAAGAAGAAGAAGAAGAAGAAGAAGAAGAGAAAAGGAAGAAGAAGAGGAAGAAGGAGCAGAAGAAAAGGAGGAGAAAAGGAAAAGGAAGGAGGTGAAGAAAAAAGAAGAGAAGGATGAAGAAGAAGAGAAGAAAAAGGAAAGGAAGGCAAGGGGAAGAAAAAGAACCGAATATCAAACATCAACTGAAATAAAACAGTGATAAAATCACAAAATATACTTACCCAGTGATCATTGTTGTAATATGCTTCCGCTTGTGCCAGTTCATTGTCATGGTGAGGGAATTTCAGATCAACACCACCTGAAACCATACGGAACATTTAGCGATTACACACATGGTCACAATATTGTTTGACTTTTCCTTATTTTATACCTTCTTACGACCTACAGGCTTATAACAAATATAAATATAAGCTTCTAATAAATTAATTTAATATAACCATTTATATATAGAGTAAACTTCCTAAAGTTATCAGACTAATCAATATAATAATAATAATAAACAGTAACAAATACTGGTTTATTTCACCCAACATATTCATTCCAGATGCCTTTCATTGTAAAATTAATTACTGATAATATATGCATTACATAAATAAATCAAAATAATTATGTGAATAATATTGATACAACAATATATTACTAATACCAACATTAGTGCTACCCAATAAAGGTAAACCTTTATAATGATCTGTAAATACTTATAACATCATCTAAACAGGAAAAAAGAAAAAGAAAAAAAAAGAAAAACTCAAACCATACATGCACTAACTGCCTTACGACTGACAGGTACAAGTATACTTCATATCATACATTTTTCTGTCCTCACCTGTATGGATATCAAGAGACTCTCCAATGACGTCTGAGGCCATGCAAGAGCACTCAATGTGCCACCCTGGCCTGCCTGGACCCCAGGGAGAGGGCCACGCTGGCTCACCAGGCTTTGAGGCTTTCCACAGCGCAAAGTCGTTGGGGCTCCTCTTCTCCTGGGCGGCAGTGGTAGAGAGCGCTCCCTCACCTTCTTCCAAAGCCTCCTGGTTACCATAGGCCTCAGGAACAAGCTGAGATTTACAAAAATGAAATAACATTGATATAAATATCAAGCAAATTAATCTAACAGCTTGTGAATGGTTCTCGACAAAAACTGTTCTATCAAGTCTACTATTTCAATTTTCATAAAAAATAATAAAAAAGCATGAGCTTAGGCCCCATTACCTACAGCATTTCTTTCTATCTTATTCTTATAACCTTATTCAAAAAGCAAAGCCTACCGTCAGAACATAGAATACCATCAAATCAAAACTACTTGTCTCTACAATAGAGCAAGCATAATATCCACTAAGTAGGAAATACTTTGTAATGACACAGGTTTCACTTGGTGATCCTAATATCAAAATACAGTAATAACTCAATTTATCTCACACCTTGGCATAATAGTGGTTTGGCTCCGCATCAAACTTTCCCACATCAAAGTAAACAGATCCGCAAGATTCGTAAGCATAGCCATTGTCGATAATCTTTTTCACATAGTCCACAATCTGAGGCACGTACTCAGACACTCTGGTTACAATGTCAGCTGGAAGTACCTGCAAGACGGATTTTTTTATTTAAAAAATCAGTGTAATTACCAAAGAAATTGTATGAACAGAAGACAAATGGAAAAGAAATTCAAAGATCAAAAGAAGTTATCCATCATCCCTTCATAAACCATCAAACTTGACATCACTTTCACTCTTCTGCTATTCTGACTACAATCATCTTTGATGCAGAAAAAAAAATAAATAAATATAAAAAATAAAATAAAGTGACTCGATAAATACACAATAAGTCCAAGCACCTTCAAATGACATCAATACATACATTGAGAGCATCCATGTCCTTGTTAAACTCATTCTCAAAATGCCGTGGCAAGTCTGCGAAAATGGAGTTTTCCGTGACGTCCTTCCCCTTCATTTTGTCCAGCCATTCACCCAGCACACTCTCAGCACTGGCCATCAGCTGATCTTGGTGCTTGCTGATCTCAGCGGCATTCCCTGAACTGGCAACACTCTGCAAAGCATCTGCAGCAATCTTCACCTAGAAGAAAAAAATAGATTGGTATAGCAAATCTTGTAGCTAATACCTGCCCTAATAATCAAACACCCCAAAGAAAAAAAAATAATAAAAAATAATCTAAATAAATAACTAAATATATATATTATATATATAAAATTTGCCAATTTTCCTTTCTTTTTTACTTCAGTGGAAATCTACAAAAATTCTCCGTATATTCTCTACGCGCAAAAGGGTGGGGAAAGAGAGAGACAGAGAGAAATCTATTTTTCTAAAAAGCATAATGGCAGTTACCTTCTGCACCTCCTCAACCAGCATTTTGAGTTTATCTGGATCTGTTGTTGCTGCAATGATGGAATTGTGGTGTTCCATGGCTGAGAAAATGTCTTCAACCAATTTATCCTTGGTAACCTGTGACCTGAGAATTCAGAAAAGCATCTTATTCTCCATTTGGCATATTTGAACATGTGAAAAGTATGCATATCAACAAAACTTGTAAATTGAAAAAATATATATACATAAAAATAATAAATGCATCAGGACCTAACAGAAAAAAAGAAATGCTTTGAACTTACTCTTTATATTTCTTGACAAGGTATCTGGTGCGAGCCCGCTTGATAATCTTGTCATCAATGTCAGTGATGTTCATAACATACTTGACAGGATATCCAAAATAGTCCTGCATTACCCTCCGCAGGATGTCAAAGCTGACGTACGATCTGTGGACATGAAATGTCATTAATTTCTGTTCTCTTCTGGACTGGGATACAATTTCTGGGATGACAGAAAAAAACAACAGAACACAAGAATTACAAAAGAGGAACCATAAATTTAGTTCTATGCATAAAAAAAAATCAACAAGTCCTCAAGTTATGTTAGAAAAAGATTATAGAGCAAATACTTTACACAGTGTAGTGACTTACCTTGCATGACCCATGTGCGAATCATCATAGACTGTTGGTCCACAGCTGTACCAAGTAACTACATGGTTCTGAGGTTTAAACAGCTCCTTCTTTCTAGTGATGGAATTGTACAGGTGGAGTTTCGGAGATTCAACCCCCTCTGGGGCAGACCACTGATAATCTGGGCGCTTGGGCATCTTCAACCAGTCTTGTCTGCAACTTTAATATTCACCAGGTTAATAAGCAAAAGATCAAGATGCTATAGATTTAACACTATGGTGTATCTGTGATTAGCTCATTGGATCCAGGTGATACGGACATCTCATTATGGAAAGTAAATGGCTGAGGGGCAGGTAACAGGAATGTATCTTCCCATGGAAACTTGCCAAATGTCACATGGTGTGGATGTCTCGTCATGCACAGACTTTGATCCACACACATGCCATAAGACACCTAGATCCAGATACTGTCCAAAATACCAAATATAAAATTCACCACTTCAAACTACTTATATTTATCAAGAGTATTATTCTTCATTATTGTTCTCCATGATTTGATATATAAAAATAACATTCCTAGAGGCTTACGGATTTAGCCAGGATTTGTCATTCTTACCACTGTTATCCACAATCACATAAAGATATAGACCAAGTTACAATACCTATTATATGCATTGCAATGTACTTCAAAACATTTCCTCTAAGCATTTCTAAAATAATATTGGCATAAATCTCTGACAGCCAAAAGCACCAAATATGAACCCTTTCTAGAAACGCAACTGACATTCATATTGGGAATTCCCACCTTGAGCACGATGTAGCATTTCAGGGATATGGAAAAATGTTATGTTTTTCCCCTAATCTTTTAAGCCATTGTTTGCGGTATTTTGCAATATGGTGCATAATCCCGCAGCAGTATTTATTTTACACTTGAGTGGCAGGAGTGCACACGCTGTAGCTGTGCTGCTTTCCCACCTTCACACATATATGTTTGTGTATATATATGTATACATACACATACATGTTTGTGTATGTGTATATAAACCCATCATCAGATATATGCAAGCGGCAGGCCTGAGCCCTGGAAGGCCGCAAGGGGGATATCCGCTTGGCAGCTGACATCAGCTCCCAGGCCACGCATAGGCCGTCAATAGCACTTTGCATCAAATCATACCATCTGTGGCCAGTGGGTTAAGAGCAAATTGCAGATATATCAGTTTTAAAAAGGGTAAATTGCAGTAAAAGATATATGATCGTTCCATATCACTGAAATTATCCAGGGCATTTCTCTTCATACTAGTTATTTAAAACTTTTTTCAGTTCTTGTCTAAGATTTCATATACTTCAAATAACCTTAAAAAGGTAATTCTGTGGGGAATCTAGCTGGTCTTTATGAAAAATGTATATTCTTTACAGTTGTCAAGTCAAAGCTTGTGTGGGGGGCCTGTGTGTGCCCTCCCCCCCAAATTCCCATGTGTCCCCCTAAATTGTAGGGAATAGGGGGAAAAATATAGGAAAAAGTGAACACTCTATATCCTCTAGAATTACCAAAATAACCACCCTATACAGCAACATAGAGCATATACAGCATCAGGTGCTCCGGCATAACAGTCATATGCCCTACCCTGCCATGAATATGATTCTTTGTAATACCATTAGGGGGGTTAGGGGCAGTAGCTGCCCAGGAGGGGGTTGCATAAAACAATATAGTGATCCAGACCGTAGAGTATTTTTCTTGCACGGGAAATGTTACATTTTTTCAAGCGTGGAAAACATCATTTTGTCTACATTTGCATGGATGGATCTGCGGAAGGATGATGAAAAAAGTGTGCGGAAAGGTCAAAAGAATTTTATGCGCGGAAAGGTCAAACGAATTTTAAGCGCGGAAGACGATTTAAAAAAGAACTAAGTGTGTACGGAGAGTTACCCGAATAACTACATTTGTGCGGACAGAATTTGGCCAAATAATTTTAGCAAGGAGAACACATTCCCTGTGTAGACCAAACTCTACAGTCTGGATAGCGAATGAATCTGTATATATTACTCATATTTTACCCCACAATTTCCCTGGTACCTTTCATGCCCTCCCCTGCTTTCAGGGCCAAAACTGTCACTCATGGGAGGGAGGGGGTTCCAT